CATTACAGGTTCCACCACATGACACGACAGTTCTTGAGAAAGCTATTGAATATATGTGTGCAACATATACGTTGGCCAAAGTGGATTTCATTATTTTATAATTTTATGTTTATAAGGAATACACACTTATATACTGAACTTATTTTTACTTCAGGACATGAAATAACGATTTATTCATTATAGGAGATATTCATAGGAGATGTGGTAAGAATTAAAATGTTATATTACATTCATGCCTTAGTCATTTCTTTAGCTAAGTTTATCTCGTACGCTTTTGTGCTGAAAAATCTTCTATCCCCTTTCAGTACGTAATGAGAAATAAAGAATGTATAGAAATAAATAAACAAATAAGTAAGTACGTATATATATTTATATATTTATTTATTTACTTATTAAATATATATTCTATATTTATATATAACGACGCGCTTTCAGTAGAAGACTATGCGAAAAGCATGCGACCAGCTTCGGCAGAGTAAACGCTGCAAACTCACCTGAAAGAGATAGATAGTCGTGACGTCAGACTTGTCCGTCTCTTTCTAATAACCGACAGCGCCCGAAGTCCACAGCTCATATGACACGGGCTCAATTTGAATTCAACCACGTTGAAAGTAATTGAATGTATATAGAAGATACCGAGTAACAAAACACCAGATGTCACTTGATTAAAAGGTACTTGCAACTATATTTTTCAAACGTTCTTTATATTTGCTATTTATTTTACACATTACGTTATGCTAACATACCTAACTTGCTTTACATATATAACTTTGTATAATTTTTATATTTTTATATAATTTTATACACAAAATTGCATTTCATATGCAGTTTTGTTTAAAATGATTTATAGTACTATTTATAGTACTTTATAGTATATAAACTTGAATGTTAAATGTACTAATATAACACTATTAATAAGATAAATATACATAGTAATTGTAGGAAAGACTGTATTCAACTGATTTATTTACTAATATCTTTAATTCCTATATGAATATTTTAATTATTACAGCATTAACAGTGCCAAAATGTGATTAACGACATTCTTGTGCATTTCGATAATTTAACGCTTCAGCAAAATTTCACAGTGTATGTCTGTTATCCTTTCCTTGATGCTAAAAGACGCACGGCGTAGAAGTAATCCTACCGTGAACAGATAGAGATCGGACCTTCTGCTGGAGAGTGTCATAAGCCTTAGTTACGTACAGTTACTATATCGCGACCAGTAAGAAGGGAATAACTATAATCTTCTTTTCCGATAACAGAAGATCTAGAAATATCTAGAACTGCTAACTAGATGACAGTATTGCCCCGAGTCTATGAGTATTTTTTTCTCTTTTCCTTTCTTTTTTCTTTTATTACTTTTATTATTAATATTGATAAAAAAGACATATGCAATCTGTTTAAGCATATAATTTAAAATATAATAATCAATGATTATGTATTGACCAAATAATTATTGAAATACTGTCAATGTTTAATCACTGTAAATTCCCTACAGTAATTTTCAATATTAAATTTCTGTAAAGGGAAGTCCGTTGCAAATGTCAACTATTCACATCTTGGACTTTTATTACTTGTACATACATATCATATGAATAAAATTTGCATATATACATGTATAATATCTTCTTATAATCAGTCACGTATAAATAAAAATAATCGAACTGAATCGAAAGAAAATCGTACATTTCTTCAAGACGCATACTATATATGTGTTTGCAACCTCTCCGCCGACTATATCTCAAACTGATTCTTTTTAATTACCGCGAAATTTTTCGCGTACAAAGATATTAAGCGCAACCAGTAAACAAATATTACAATAAAATTTCATTCACGCTCATATATATATATATCTCAATGTATGTCAGCTTCTTTCTCAATAGGAGATATTTTGTTGCGCATATTCCAAGATTATTAAGATCAAGGCTATACGGCCATCTCCCTGCAAATAGACCCGTTGGATTATAAGCGATATTTGATTTATTTATATGACCCTGAACGTATATCAGTTGAACCTCTCCACTGCTCAAAGTGGCGAGTATAGAGATTGCTTTAATAACACCGATCAAAGAATAAGCGCTCCTAGGCTTAGTAATAAAAAAATGATTTGAACATTAATAATTTCTGTAACGCAAAATGCAAATTTTATTGACGCAAGAGAGATGGATTAATTTATTAAAGAAATTACTGATAATAAATAAATTTATGAGAGTTTATATCACACGTACACGTAAGTACTATAACACACGATATAAACAATTTGATGTAATATGAAATGTAGGACACGTTCAAAACAATAATATGGCTAATATATAACACGTATGGATTTTTCAAAATCACGTTTTATATAGCATGAAAATCATTTTTACATTGAGACTATTAATTCCTATTAATTCCTATTGCAACTTTGGAGCTTTATAACTCGAAAAGTACTCAATGAAGAAACATTTCATTATAGTGTTTTGGAAAGCTCTCGAGGTCAGCTACAAGAATATGTAATAAAAAATAGAGGATGCCATTAAAAAAAATGGAGGTGACCTTCATGTGACTTTCAAATAATTCTTCAAGGTCAAACCAATGGTACCGTCTTATGGTCCCCTCGAAACCAAACAACTTTTGTCTGAAAAATTTTTCTTTCCCGGGCTTGGTTTTCGAAATATTCGACTGGGTCGATTAAAATGGCCCACCTTGTATATACATCTTACTTCGTATATATATCATGAATATTACATATATATGTTATATTAAAGATTGTTTTATCTTCAAATGCTGTTGCAGACTCATTTAATTAGTTATGTGATGGTGAACTTAAGACAGTCTTAAACATAAGATTCGACTATATAAATACCGCCCTATAATTAAGTATTAGCAACTGAATATATTGACTGTGCAGTTATGTACAAAAAGTGTACAGTAAAAGAACAAAACTATAATATAACTGTTCTAACATTTTCGTTACATAATTTTTTAGTTCCATGTAATATAGCAACTATTGAATGTGTTGATTGGGGCGTTTGCCAGTGAGATAATAACTAGTGAACTTATTATGTAATTACACGGCTTTCTTGTAGTGAGAGATAAAAAGAAATAGACTGTATGAATACCATTAAAAAAATTATTTACCCATTAGTAGAAATATTACAAATATTTATCCATTCGAATAATAAATTACACACCGAATTTAACATTTGCTAAATCTCTTATTGATAAAGCTCCCATCCACTAATAAAACTCGTGCGATAACAGTCTCGCAATACCGTCACGCTATACAGATTATTGTATCATCCAACTAATACTCTACACATTGCAGTTATGTGTTGGAGACTGAGTGTAGTAATAACATGCGCTCGACGTGTCAGCTCGCTCAGTGTCTTGCCGTCTGTCAACCGTTTATTGGAATAGAAAAGAGAGACATGATTGTCGCGTTTGTATCTTTGATTCTTGGAGCTGTGATAATTCTTTATCTCTACCTAACGAGGAACTTCAAATACTGGCAAAAACGTGGAGTTCCTTGCGTGAATGGGACCACTTTACCGGGAATTGGTCATATGTGGGAGTTTGTCAGTGCAAAAATTACTTTCAATGAGTTCTGTCGCAAAATCTACCATGGCAACAAGGATCGTAGCATGGTCGGTTTCTACAATTTCTCAACACCTACACTGATGATTCGCGAACCGGAGTTGGTGAAAACAGTGTTGCAAACGAAATTTACGAATTTTCACGAGAATGCACTCAAGATCGACCCTGATCTGGATCCCCTTATGGCTAACAATCCTTTCTTCACATACGGAGAGAAATGGGTAACCGGAAGAAAGCGTCTGACTTATGCCTTCTCCAGTATGCGATTGAAGATCTTACTTGAGAGTGTTAAACAAGTATGCGGAGAATTTGAGACCTTCTTAAATATAAAGTTGAACAAGAAAGAAAAAGCGGAAGTCGAATTGAAGGATCTCTTCGCCAAATACACCGCGCAGGTGGTAGCAAACGCCGGTTTCGGCGTTAATGGATTCTGCTTCGACGATAAGAAGCAGCACAAGTCCTTCTACGAGATAGGCAAGTCCTTCCTCGAGCCGTCTGCTATAAACAATATGATCTTTACCCTTGTGTTTCTAATACCTTGGTTGGGCAAAGTTTTCAGAATAAGATTTTTACCGAAGAAAGTCGATCGTTTCTTCAGAACGTTGGTCAACGATATTATGGAGCAAAGAAGGGCAAGCGACACGCAAAGAAACGACTTTTTCCAATTGATGGTTGAATTAGAGCGTACGGAAAGTAATGAATTTGACCTGGAAGTTTTGGCGTCTAACGCGATGTCGTTCTTCGTCGACGGCTATGAGACTTCCAGCTCCGCTTTGACCTTCGTTGGCTTCCATTTAGCTGCATACCCAGAAGTGCAGAAGAAATTACGCGAAGAGGTGATGACTGTACTGTCCAAACACAATGGCATACTTACGTACGACGCTTTGAGAGAAATGGCATACATGGATCAAGTAATAAGCGAGTCACAGAGAATCGTGCCTACAATTGGATTTATGAACAGGATTTGCACGGATGCGACTGAATTAAGAGGATCCGACGGAATTGTTTGCTCTGTGGAACCAGGGACAAACATTCTAATACCCGTTCATGGTCTGCAGGAAGATCCTTGCTATTGGGAAAATCCGCACGTGTTTGATCCTGAAAGATTCGACCCGAGCAAGAAACACAGTATCGAGAGATTCGCCTTTCTTCCCTTCGGTGAGGGACCACGAATTTGCGTAGGAATGAGGATGGGCCTGTTACAGATGAAAGCGTGTCTCGCTGTGCTCTTAAGAAAGTTCAGTTTGGAGCTTTCTCCGAGGATGCAAATGCCTTTAAAATTAAAATCCTCAGTTTTTCTATACGCGCCAGTGGGTGGTGCTTGGGCCTTCATCAAACCAATTTAAAAGTGCACGACTTTTATTAATCCCCTATAACTTGTTGCTTTATTTTTTATCCGTCAAATAATTTCTCTCTTGTAATCTGAGATCTATTGATATTATTCACAATTTGTTTATTTTTGTATCAAACATTTCTTAAAAATTTCATTTACTTTTGTTGTGATGACGTTTGCATAATATTTTGAATGGAGTAAATCATATTTTAAGGAAAACTCACGTAGATTAAATTTGATAGAAAATAAAGGAAATTGTGTATTTGTTCGGAAAATAGCAAAATTTCTGTGTTTGTATCTTTTTAAATAGATATTTCGTTCTATTCTATCATATGGTAGTGATGCTATTGTAGTAAAGAAACGCCAATGTTTTTAGACATAATATTATCAGTGACGCATTCCGCGTGCGAGTCTCTTGATGTAATATGTTATCATACATTATATAGATGTAATGTTATCATACATTATATAGAGCATTACGCAAAGTGCTGTTATGTATAATAACAAGGTTAGAGTTTTATGATAACATTGAAAGAAGCAATAATGGAAATAAAATATATTATTTCAAAAATATAAAAAACGAAGAAAAAGAGGGGAGAAAAGAGTTTTATTTTTATGATTGCCCATAACAATAACTTTAAATTCACACGTATATATGTGTGAATTAAAAAAGGTAATTATAACTTTTTAGTACAATTATTTATTTCCTTTTATAAATATAATTAGCGTAGGAATAAGAATGGGTCTGTGGCAAATGAAAACTTGTCTCTAAGAAGAACTTCATTTGTTATTTGCTCAAATATTTTGACTCTTCTTGTTGTGACAAGATTGGTATTTTCTTGAACAATTATACTCTTGCATCTATGAATTTATAAGAATATCATTATAACTATGTAATTTATTTTCTTTACAATAAATTTTTTGATTACATTTACATTTAATTATTTTTTACACATTTAATTATGTTACACGCTACATGATTATTAATAATTCTGTTTGCGAATATTCAATATAAGGAAGAGGTAAATAATAGTAGCGTAAATAATAACGTATACATTTTATATATATTATAAACAGAGTTTATTCATTAAAAGTACTTATATATATTCTCTTTTCTTTTTCTGTACATATGTCATGACAACACAACGTACATTAATGTACTTTTCCATAAGAGATAATATATATTCTTAGCTACTAAATTACTTTTATTCTGCTATTTTATGATAATAAAATATTTTAAAGTATATTAACGTATACGTACATTAAGATCTATTAACTAAGGCACTGCGGTGAAACCAAAATGCGATAAATTTCGCAAATCAACGAATAAAAATTAAGTAGTTTGTAAATTAAAATGAAGTTATTGTAATCTAAGAAATAATAACCTGTCGGAATGATATCAAAGTTTAATGAATGCGTCACATATTTCTCTACCGCAAATCACGTTAAGCTTTTGTGAGAATCTGATTGTCTAAATTGAAACTTGTGCGACAAACACGAAATTAGAATGAATAGTGATTTCTCGATTGAAAGATCCCTAGAAAGAACGTATAACCAATCGGAGGCGTCCTGTTGATTCACGGTATGTTCTTGATGGATGATTATTTTACGTTTATAAAGAAATAGTAAGTCTGTTCGTTTTCGATGCACCGTTGAACTAGTGCAATAAGTTGAAGCGAGACAAGTATTTCTCATTTCAACTTATTGCACTAGTTCAGTGGTGTAACTAAAAAGAACAGACCACATATTTCAGTGTATGCAAATTTCTGGATCAGCTAGTTCAACTAAAAAGAACAAACCACTTGTTCAAAGCTTGGTCGCCATTGCCTTATGCTCATTCCAGTTAAGATAACTCACTCATGTTAATTATTAGCAGTTTTAATTGTAAATTTTCTAATATTTTTACAACTCTATTTTTTATGCCTGTAAATCTCCGTATCATTTTTAATGAAACTATTAATGATCTATTTTCTTAATTAAATTATTTTTTTTAGTTTTACCATGACTCGGAAATGTGTGCTGTGTAAAGAGACCAATTACAAGAACAATTTTAGTTTCTTCTCAGCACCTAAGGACCCAGAGATACGTAAAAAATGGCAAATAGCTCTTGGCATCGAAAACTATGCTATTACTGAAGACATATATGTATGCAGCAAGCACTTTCATAAAAATGATATTATTACACACTGGGTTAGTGGAGTACCACCACAAGTAATAAAGGTAGGGAGAATGGAAATAGGTAATTGATAAATATACAATATGCATATTTTTCTCAACATTACATATATGGAAATATATTTGTGTATATATAAGAAATTATATAGCAATAAATTCATACTTGTCTGTTTATTTGTTGTTAAAGCTTGTACAAATTATTTGTTGCTACAGATCAAATATAAAAAATGTCGATTGCGTCCTGGAGCTATACCAGGTAAAAATTTCTACTCAAATAATAGTTCACAATCAATAGATAAAGATGCTTCAAACAAAAGTGAAGTGGAGATGAATAATTTATTGATATTCAAAAAAAGAAAAGAAAACGTAGATTTATTAAACGGTGAAGAAACTTTTCTAATAACTAGAAAGAATAAAAATCAGAATGATAATGAATATATAGATAATAAAAATACTAATGTATGTTATCAGATATATTCCAAGCTACAAGATTGTGCACATAATGTCAATGAAAATTTTGACTGCGGTAACATACATTTACTAGAAGATATGGACAAGATAGACATAAATATCTCCATGCAGAATTTGGAATCAAAGGAACCAAGATCTAAAAGAAATGAATCAAATAAGATACTTAGACATAATGATAGCTATAGTTCAGACATTTTTGTAAAACAAAACGCTGAATCTATGAACACAATAAACAGAGAGGAAAGTCAAATATTGAACAAATTGCATGGAGATACATTGAGTAAAACAGTAGAAGATAAAGTTAAAAATTACAATTCTTATAAAGAAGATAGAATGTCATTTGAGATCTGGGAACATAATGTTACTTCCACAGATTCGGAAGAATCAGTCAATAGCAACTTAAAAATGACAGATCATTTGTATATAAGCAATCAAATATCAGCGGCCTTGAACTATGATCATCTGAATACACAGAACGAAGTAGTATACGACATCAATAAAAATGATATATTATTCGAAGACTTCCTTGAAGTATGTACAGAAGTATCCATACCACGTCGTTGGTCATGTCTAGTAACGTCAAAAGGTCATAGCACTACAGTAGTATATCTTTGTATGGGGATTACAAAATATGGACTTCCTTTTGTGGAAAGACAAGTATTCATCAAGAGCGACATGATATTACATTGTGCTGCGGCTAACAGAGAAATCAATCCATTTGTGCATAATCTCTTAAAAGAAGACAAACATATCAAAGTAAAAAGTTTATTAGATATAGAAAAACTCGTTGATGAGTTTGATCGACGAATCATATGCCAAGGTGAGACGGTGATAAATGTTATCTGCTTATTCTTGTTTCCATTAGAATAAATTTTCCTTTTTATCTGATATAGGTATACGCGATGAAAAAGATTATGAAGATATGGATATGAGAAAAGTTGCATGTAAAGATGGAATCAAATGGCGTCATACTTTATGTCCATTGATCGTGGATAATAACCTATCTAGATGTACAAAATGCGCTGTATTGTTCCGCACATTAGTATGTAAGTCCCGAAAATCATATTCTATCGACTACAATGATCCTGTCGAACTTACGAAGCAGAAACGAAAAAATATACATGTGTCACAGTAAATTTAAAAACATGTAGAAAACTAAAACTACCAATATAAGAGTGCGCAACATAATTTAGAAAATATAATCAAGTTTATACTTAGATAGAAGTGCATGATGATCACATTTCATCACGATGTGATTGTTATATTATAACTTACCTTTTAATATCGTTTTAAAAGTCATTACGTGATTAACATGACATGAGCACAAGATATGCACAAGTGATATACAAATATGTATGCGTGTTCTTGCCTAGATTTTGATTAATGTTATCCCTTGGTGAAAAAATATTTTATATTTTCTCAGGAAGTTTATAAGATTTCTTATATTCTAGATTTATGAAAAATCTTGGAAAACTATAAAAATTTTTTTCTGATATTGTACGAAATAAATGAGAATTTTTAGAATACTTTAACAACTATATGTGTAAAAAATTTCTAAGAAATATGTTTTCATGTTTATTCAGACTTATACAAAAATATATTTGCAGAAAAAATCTAAAATATTACATAATTATTATAATATGAAAAATTCTAAAATATGAAATGAAGAAATTGAATATTTTCTATTGTTTCTAATGAACTCGAGGAAAACTTCATATATAAATTTAATGACTTCAATATGTAAATATGAAGTGTGCAAAATTTTCGTGCTTTTTCCTGCCTAAAATTTCATTTGTGAAAAAGAATGAAAAATGAAAAAATGTGAAATACTTCTAAATAACTTACGTTTCTTTTTATAATATTTTTAAAATTCTCGCGATATTTCAGTTATCTAAGAAATCTTATTTTTTAATTCTTTTATACAGTATATTCGTTTATTTCGTTCCAGTGTAATTATTAGTCGAACAACTATTTTGATAATGCACATATATTAATCATAATGCAAACATTAATAACAGAACAAAAGGGAGATAACATTCTCAAAATAAATAATAAACTGACCATTTTAATTTTAAATAAATATATAGGACGAATATGAATAAAATATTTTAACTTTTTATCGTAAATTTACGATATTAACACGTTGAGTGCCACGCGCATTTCGGAGGAAATCTCGTTCAAGGCTTAAAATTAAAATTTTTTGATAAGAAATATTTAAGTATATTAATTATACGATCCTGAAATTACTTATTAAACTATGTCATTTTTTTAGTTTTCTATTGTACTTTATATTGTCAGTCACCGGTAACTGACGTGGCACTCAACGTGTTAATTATCGGCAGCAATTATAATTGATCGAGCAATGTAAAGATGGCTTTGCGCGCATTTGCATATATTTACATTTTCGTGTGGTTATAAGTCATAAGTATTATAATGTATAATAATAGTAAATAATATTTATAAATAAATGACTGTACAAAGATTATGTACAAATATGATACATATAACTTATAACAAGATATAAAGATATGCAAATGCGGACAGGCCATCTTTATATTGCTCGATCAATAACAATTACTATCGATAGCTAATATCGCATGATAAAAAGTTGGAACACTTATACTCGTATTCAGTTTATATATATATATATATATAAAAGATGAATACGTATATGTATAAGAGGTGAATATATATATATTTGTTATTTAATATAAAAATATTTAAATTGTTTCATTGAGTTAAAATAAATTAAGATTTAAAAAATAATTTAATGAGAAACGACGTTTAAAAATTCGTTAATGATCGAGACAAAATTTTCCAAGTAGCAAAATGGAAGAAAACAATGTCGTAATGACAATTTTATAAGATTTGAAATTAATCAATTGTAATGTTTAACTTATAAAAATACTATCTTCTTGAATCTATAGATTCTTCTATAGATATAATTCTTCTATAGATAGATCTTTCTATAGATATAAGTATGGATACAGGAATATAATCTCACGAAAAAATGATATTTTAATTATGTATCATAATTAATTTCAAAACTTATGGAAATATTTGAGATTTAATCAGAAATTTTGAACTGGAAGTTTTCGAAGGAAATATTAAAAAATATTTGAAAGTATTCAGAAATATTTAGAATTTTTCAATTCCTTGTCTGACAGTTTTTCTGAAGAACGTTCCAATTTGTATTAAAAATAGGAAATATTGTGAGAAAATTTTAAAAATTTCATCGAAATTCTTCTCTTCTGGTGGAAAATATTTTCCACCAGAGATTATAAATGAAATATTCTTCTGACATCATGACATGAACGATATCGGAGCATCTGCGTACGCATTTATGTACATTTTTGAGATCATGTTGCGTTAATATATGAACGCGTATTATTGAACTATACCTTAACTGGAACGGGTAGGATCCGATAGCCCACTTCAGTGATTGGTTAATTTTATATAAAATTTTCTAATTGGTGATCCAGCAGAAAAACTCTAGGCACCAGCCGATCAATGGATGTGTGTTAACGTGCGCTAACAGGACCCTTCCACTGGAACGAGGCAGTTAGTAGCTGGTATCAATTGCCTACGATTAGATACAGTCCAATCACAAGTCAGCCGTTCCAAAGAACCTTAGGAATACCTCTATGCACACGGTGCTGTGATTGGCTGCGTCCAATCAAACAATCCCCATACAGCCAAGCGTTAAAACCTTCATATACAGATTGCCGTAAATAGTAACTCCTTGTCTAAGCAAGACTGTGGACAAGGAGTTGCATCATATCACCTTAGGAGGATAAGATTTTGACTGAAAAACTGCAATATTACTATAATAGTTCCAAGTAATGTATATCAGTGTTGAAAACTTAATCGTACATATAAAAGTTAAGTGCTCAGAAAGCATACCCGAGAGGGGGGAAACATGCCAAGCGGACCGCGCATTCCACTACATCCAATGCTGAGGAGAAAGACCAGCCGTGATTTAGTGATTTTCTAGTGTTGTCCAATCAATGTAATCTGTGATCAATAGAGACACAGTTGTTACGTCCACGATAGATAACTATATAGGGAAATTTGAAAGCAGTAAAATCAGTGACTTACGTGGACGGTCAACAGAGTGATGACTCCGCTTTTAGGTCACTCTGCTTTTCACCGAGTTTACCCTGGGTCTCCGGAGTCTGGCGAAACGTTCGATGAATCTGGTGAGAAATCAGAGCCGCTCGTTCTCCTGGCTCGGTCTCGAATGTTCTGGCGCTGCACGGGATGATGCGATCCGCGATTCCAATTTCGATTTCGCAACTTTCGAGAAATGAGGGGTAGACAAAAATAATTGTTACACAGTCGGATTTTACGACTAATATATTCCAAACCATATAAGTACACAAGTATCAAAAGCTAATCACGAGAAAAGAATCATCTTCGCAACGAATGCGCGCATTTTTATACGTTGCTTTGTCGCTGAGAGTCGTTTTCTGGTTGGCTGATGGAATCGTGGAGATGGAAGAAATTCATTCCATCGGTATTGTTGTCACCGCGTCGATATCGCCCCGTCGGTCCTGAGTGGTGTTTGGATTTAGGTTTCATGCTCCTGTTTATGCTAGCAGCGGGGTGCCTTATCGCATCGAGATTACGGTTTCTCTTGTCTATAGTTGATCCCTCGATTTTAAGGCTTTCTAACGACACGTCGTTTCTTTGGCGTTATAATTTTAATTATAATATTTAACGTGCGCGAATATACATATGCGCACGTACTTACATCTAGTAACATAGGGATACCTGGTGAATATCTAACCTAGTGATATCTGAAATCAGAAAAGTCGGCCTCCGATCTATACTAATATATTATTAATGTTTCAAAATAAGTCAGGACGTTACACAGTCAATCGAGTCCTCTCTCACTCATCACTCTTTCCTGCTTTATCTAGTTTTTAATACCAGCGCAAGTTCTGATTGCTGCTGCTTTTCTGCTTTTGTCAAGATAAAAATCCTTCCTAACTTATTCTACCAGTTCATCAACGCTGTTAAAAGGAACAGACCGAAAAGAGTTCAGTAGTTCTGCCCTTACTGTACACGTAAAGATCAGTTGAGGTGACATGAACATGGATGGTCAATTATTGGTAATTTTTCAAAAAAAATAATTTTTATATTTTCTACATCAACACCTGTTGTGCTTTTAACTTTTAACAATAGTAGTATATTTGTTTCTGCATTTTTAGCACGAATTGTACTGAAATTTCGCAATTTTTTTTTACTCCCTAACCTTTTCGTGACACAATATTTGTCCGTAATACAATTTCTCTGACGAGTTTATGCAATATTATCGATCTCACGTTTCGTCTGTCTGAATAGTTTTATTTTTTCGATTATTCTTAACATAGCAAAAAACATTAATTAGATTTATGATCATTTGTCAACATTATAAATTTATATCTTATGGTTTTGTGTGTTATACATGTTTATTGTGTATTGAATATATGCACGCAGACAAGTAAGATAGTAACTTTAAGTTCTGGAGTATTCTTTTAACAATAAAACGTTAAAAATAAATATAGGAACCTACATTGTATACAGTGAAAGGAATGGCTATTCTTGATAATGATGGCAATCGAATTCTGGCAAAATATTACGACCAAAATGTCTTTCCTACATCGAAAGAGCAGAAGACCTTTGAGAAAAACTTGTTCAACAAAACACATAGAGCCAATACCGAGATTATCATGCTAGACGGTCTGACATGTGTTTACAGAAGTAACGTAGATTTGTTTTTCTATGTCATGGGCAGCTCGCATGAAAATGAGGTTTGTATTGTTAAATGTATTTAAATATTAAATCTTTTAAAATTTACCAATCTAATACATTGTAACAAACATATTTATTATAGTTGATATTAATGAGTGTTCTGAACTGCTTATATGACTCTGTCAGTCAAATCCTTAGGAAGAACGTGGAAAAGAGAGCAGTCTTGGACAGTTTAGACATAGTAATGTTAGCAATGGATGAAATTTGTGATGGAGGGTATGAGTAATATTGTTTGATAAATTTTTGTAATTAGCAATGTAACAGTATATCTTTTTAGTATAATTTTGGATGCGGATGCAACAAGTGTGGTACAGAGGGTTGCATTACGAACAGATGACATTCCACTTGGGGAACAAACGGTAGCACAGGTAATACTTTGTTTTATTTGCTCCATTTTCCAAATTATTATTTATAATTTTTCACCTATGTATCTTATAGATTCATTTCCCTCTTGTCTTTTCTCCAGGTTTTACAGTCAGCCAAGGAACAGCTTAAATGGTCATTATTAAAATAAATAATCTCTGTTTTTTTTATATACAAGTCTCTTTATGTTCATTCACGACGCATACATACTATAAAATGTTATTATTATTATTATTGTTAATTGATATTGTATAGAATTAAAAGTCTTAATTGGGAAATGAGTGTATGTAAATTCTATTATTCTTAAAATTGGACATGACTAAAATAGTTTTATATCATGTAGGATGTTCTATGTTATTTGTATTACTAGTTCCTTGGTGAAAATCTTTTTATGAAAATTGCTTAAAAATTGGGATTTTCATAGGATGTAAGATATTTTTAAACTTTCTCATAAAAATAGATGGAATTTTTACGAATAATCAATTTTTCTTACTTGCTTATAGTGGAATTGTGGTAATATCCAAATAATCTGAACTTCTATACAGACACATATTACCGATTTTTTAAACTATTTCTTGTCTGTTATAAAATCAGAGATTTTTGTAATGGTCTTATTTTTTTCCGAAATAGTGCAAAATGAAATGTCTTTTAGGATAGTTATATTTTTTTGCGTTAAATAATAGCTGGAACGTTGACGGCACAGTTGTCAGCGACAGGAATAAGAACCTTGTCTATTTACGATTATGATAAAAGTGATTGGGTTTCATACTGTTCGACTTACTTTTTTGAAATACAATACGATAAGTGAACTGTGTCAGTCTGTCTATCGGTGAAGCAATTCGTTCATATCCGTGTAGCCGAAGGCAGCTCTGTGAAATTCACATGCCTTCGGAAAGTGAAATGAGCTGAGCGATATCCAAGCGCGAAAAAATGAGCTTCTTCACACGGCTCAATATAGCTTACGAGCTCAAGACAGCGATCGCATTTTGAACATTTAATGATCATCCTTCTGCGCGGAGAGACTCTGCCGTTGTCACCCTTTACGCGCTGCCTTTCGCGAGCACCTAAAATACATGGGTAGATCGCTTCACCTATGTCTGTTTCCGTGCTCCTTTTTTCCCCTATAGTATAATTATATTTAATAAATAATATTATGTAAAACCATATTTGCAATTTTGTCAATAGGTTTCCACGTCAGGTACTATTATCGATACGCTTTTTTAAACTTATTTCTCTTGTAGTCCACTCAAAAATTAATATGAGAAACGCAAACCTAATTTATGCGCATTAATTATTTTTGACACATGTATAATGAGTGTTTTGCAAACAGGACGTCTCTTACAGACGTAATGTTTTAATAATTAATTTTTCATACATGTGTGATGTGTGTTAATGTCTGGTTAATACCACCAAACTTTTTCCCATGTATACAAATCAACTTATAAGAATTCTCATCGTTATGTGTCTGTCACATATTTTATATTACAGTGAAAAATCAACATCGATTCGATGACGATTCCATATCGATGTTCAGTTTTCGCTAAGATGTGATGAAATTTGTTTTTACTTAACGACCATTCGTAAATCTACAATAATAGAAATCTCGACACAACCTGTTGATTATATTTCCGACGATAATGACGATAAAGTATAAGCGGCTATGAATCCGATCATCACTTGAGACATAGTGATTATACTCTGCATTCTCGTGCATATCTGTCACATACTTCGTAGACGACGCAGACTAATCGTAAATCGAGGATATCATATTGCTGGCGATCTTTTTTATAAATATACGCTCGAAAGTCACGTTCGTTCACGCGAATAAACCGGTCTCTGTTATAAAACAAACTTCCAAAGCATCTTTGGTATCACCGCAACTCTTGAAAGACTCTATGAGCAGGTTGAACTTTGTCAGAGACTATACCATAGTAAAGATTCAACTGTTTTATAGGTGAATACTTTAAAATTGCACTGATTTTTTTTGTAACGCAAACGATATGGAAATCTCGCGTTAGAATGCGAAGCTCATGCAGATAATACGCGTAACAAAATATTTTAATCAGTTATAACGTAATATTTCTCATACAGAATGCCAAATATTTTTGTTGCGTCCACTGATATGATAGTAAATTTAATTTATTTGTTTTGTAACACAAATAACAAAATATCTGATAAATTAAATCATCAGAAACATTTTTATATCAAACATGACTATAAAAAAGGCTCCATTAATGGACATACAATAGCTATGCTTTTTCTTCACAAACAAGTTTATAAATAAATATAGAAGAGCTAGTACTAATAATGTGAAAGTAAATAATACAATCGAAATATTTGAATTGCAATTTACCGAAGCACAAACATATTTATATTACATTATTCATCCGTACATATCGTATTAACGACTAGATTAACATTCGTATCGGAATGTTTTTAATCCTCCATCGTTACCTGTAAGAATGATATGTACGTCATGGTGGATTTTAGAATATCCGTCATAGTAGATCGTGTTAAAAAAAAAAACTTTCCGGCGCTAAGTCGTAGTGGGATCTTCAATCTGATCATAATAAGCATCAGATCCTTCACAATGGTGGGCGACAATTCGTACCACGTTGTATTGTATATCGACGTGATAATCGACGCGCTTTGACTGTGTAAGGTATCGCCGGCGTGTGTAAACAAGAAGCACTGTAGAGTATAAAATTGGATGAAGAACAACATTTTCATGACTTCATTGTATTCGCGTTGCCTGAATAAAGTAATGACGCGCAATCCTATGAAAAGAAAATGCAGTTTTTTCAATTATATCGGATTATATCGTATCATGTCACACAGATAAAAGCATCCTTCGTGCGGAATTTAATTTTCTTTCGGTATATTTTTGTCTTATTATATATTACTGTATTTTTTTTAAATACTATCTTAAAATATCCCAAACTACTACAAGTATACCTAAAAGACGTTTTTTAGACATCTTAATGACGTCCTTCAGGTATCTTATTATCTAAGAAAAAAAAAACGTCTTTACGACGCTTTAGGACGTCTTAATGTTATCTCCGATATTATTAAATAAAAGTGAATCAGAATGTTTGAATCGTATGATACAGATTACTAGCCACCTAATTTAATCGACCTCGCAGCGTATAGATGGCAATTGCGTAGATATACTATGCGAACTGCTGATCCGAACGCAAACTACAGGCATATGAAAAATTAGAATCAAATTACATGCTGAACCAAGTTGAATTGTATAACTAAAGCAATATTAGTTAATATATCGCACTTGGGCCAGCAGTTCGATCATATGCCGATTAAACATCGATAAATAATTGCAGTCGGTAATCTGTCCATTAGGGCAAAAAAAAACTGCTTCAATTCTGAACCACCCTGTACTTATTTTATATTCACTCTAATTCACTGTATATTTATATTAATTATAATAAATCTTTTCAAAATATTAAAAATCAAAAAGAAAATAAGTATATCAGATCGATTTACCTGACATCGCGATAACTACGCTAATTAATATAAAGCGTATCAAAATGTTAATATTGAAAGAGTCTTCAATATTTCTGGCTAATGTTATCAGCTTCTGATGCCTTATAATTAATGGTCGCAATGAGTTATCGTTATGTACTTTGTCATCGGTTCCTCTTCTGATCTCAGCGAAACGATTTCTAAGCAGCTCCAGCTGACCACACAGATGCATTGTGATGCAGAAGAAGAAGCCATCGCTTGTACATTCTGCTAGTGATAATACGATTATCTGCATCATTTGGATAACAATAAGTGCGTTGTAAATGCGATAAGATACTCCGCCTAACAGACACGTCGTCGGAAGGGGGTAACGCCATGCGATCATGGTGTAGTTGTCGATTGTTATGACCTATAAACATATCTCGAGATGTAACTGAAACAACACAACATCTAAATGATGTCATAAACATATCGCAAAAGAATGATGAAGACGTAATAGACTAAATGTTGAGAATAAAACATCAATCCAAAAAAAAAGGTTCCCTCTAACGATATTTCTTCATCCCTCAAATAATCACTACCAAATGAGTGAATTTAATCTAAAGTGTATAACAGATTTGTATGAACTTCATATTAGTTTTGAGCAGTACATATTTTAAATCCAGCAATAAGTTTCAAAATTTCTCTTTTTATGAACGATCTTTGATACGTTCATGATACAACCTGCTGTTTCTCGTTCATCATGACCGCCATAATGTACGAAGCGCAGCTCATACTTGCAAGCACGATGTGACCAATAACAATTACACGTCCCACGCGCGCGTAACCGGTCATTATAACACGCGCTTTCTCCGTAGACGGAATGGACCAATCATTGATAGCCGAACTGATGTTAATGACCATCCTTTTCATATTCAAGCGTGGAAAAATGGTGCTTATCCAGCCGTGCAAGCAACCTTCCATTAGAAGGACCATCTCGAGAACATCTTTCGGATCGCCGCAACGTTGGAAATATTCTACGAGCAAGCTGACTAAAGTGAGACTCTGCAAAACGACGACTCGCTCGTAAATATCACTTTAGTATTAACGAGGCACCGACTAATGTAGCAATAAATAGCGCATGACTCACTGTACCGTCTCACCTGGGTCGTGAGTATCGCGAACCATCGGACGGTACTGAACAGTTCGTCCCGCTGGAAAGGCCATACGCCGAGCAACAACATCATCGTCTTTATCATGGAGAAGCCGTAATTTATGCCGCTATTCCAGTTCTCCTTCATGTTTAGCTTTATCGAAGACTGCTCTCTCGATTCGAAAACAATTTCTCGGTCGAACGTATGACCCACGTTGCAATTTTCTTATGAGATCTACCGCTTACTTGCTATTCGGAAACGCTGCGGTGCATATCTATCTGCGAACCCATCTCTCTCTCCTTCCTTCACCGTTCTCTTCAGGAGGATGGTAAGATAAGTGGGAAGACAAATTTGTCAAATCGCTCGTGATGTTGCGTAACTGCACGATTATTATGCATAATTTGCGATATTTGCCCTTGCGTCGTCGCCGCACGCGATTACGGACCAGCTTAACATAACTTCCGGTTGTAGTAGCATTTCAGACACAAAAGTAAGAGAAAGTAGAAAAAGTTATAAACTTTGTATATGTGCTACGGTGTGTCCGCTTTGTATATAGTTGAACATTTTTTCTTCCGTTGAAAGTTTTTCCTTTCTGTTCCGTGTTTTCTCCTCGACTAAACAAATCGTATTGCTTTTGGAGCTGTTTACAATTACAATAGAACTATTCTGTAATTTTTATCGACGATATTGTCATAATTATTCTTTTTGTCACTACACAGATATAATATACGGTTGAAAAGCTGCACAATAACAACGTTAGAAATTACAGAATAGGACAAAATAAGCGTGTCAAAACATTTTAATCCACTATAACGTAATATTTTTCATACAGAATACCAACAATTGTTATCTACGTCCACTGATATTATAAGTTTTTTAATCGGTATTATTTATAACATAAATAACAAAATCTAATAAATTAATTAATCAGAAACATTTTTATATCCTAATCAAACATAAATGCTACTGTAAAAAAAAAGAGGCACCCATTAACACAATATATAACTGTATTAACGTAATATAGCGTTTTACCTTGGTACACATGTTTCGAAGTAAATATTATTTATGGAAAAGCTAATACAGGCCTACAGGCACTTTTCCATGGATTTCGCTGACTGACATCCCTATCGTTTCGTAACATCTATACTCCTCTCAGACGTAGGACGCTCAATCTCAGGAATGGTACTAGCTAAAAATCGCTTGACGAATGTTACCACGCGCGCTGTTCAAAATTTCGAGTGATATAAACATTATAATATATCGATAATAATAATAATATTAATCAATTTAAATAGCGCACAGGACAACATTCGCCAAATACAGTTAATACCATCTCTGAGATCGAGCGTCTCCAAGAAAAGCCCTGATGCTGTGAAACGAGAGAAGAGGATATAAAAACTCGACGAAATTCATGAAAAAGTGCAAACTGACCTGAGCTGTTATATAATGTGACGATATGTAATACAATATTCGGGTTGCAGTTTAACAAAAACACATGTATATTTCTTATATTACTTACTCATACATATTGTATTCGCGACTAGGCTAACATTCGCAGTATCGGAAAGTTCTCAATCCTCGATCGTTACCCGTAGGAACGATATGTACGTTATGGTGGTTTTCAAGATATCCGTCATGGTAGATCGTGTTAAAAAGAAAAATTTTCCGGCACTAAGTTGAAGTGGGGTCTTCAATCTGACCATAACAAGCATCATATCCTTCACAATGGTGGGTGATAATTCGTACCACGACGTATTGTATATCGACGTACTGATCGACGCGCTTTGACTGTGTAAAGTATCGCCGGCGTGTGTAAACATAAAGCACTGTAGAACATAAAATTGAATGAAGAACAGCAGTTTCATGACCTCATTGTACTTGTGTTGCCTGAATGAAATAATGATGCGCAATCCTACGAAAAACACAATTTTCTCAATTATAGATTATAATTAACGTATTATATCACACAAGTAAAAGCATTTCTTCCTGAGAAACTTTATTTGTCTTCGATATTTTTATATTTTGTTAAATATTTTTATATTTTTAATACATGGTTTGTCCGGAAAGTAATGTTAGTGATTTTTTTTACGCGACTGACCGCCAGAGCGCGCTCGGATCGGTTGGGAATGGTAGAGGGGGAAGTCAGCTAACGAATGTTGAGTCACTCACTCTTCTCCCGCCAGCCGCATAATAAGGACATGCGTTTCCGGGGAAGTCGTTTTGTGACCTCGTGCAAGTAAAAATGCAGCGTTCGTTAGAACAAAAGATGGCGATCAAGTTTTGCGTTAAACTTGGCAAGACCGCGGCGGAAACTCTTCCAATGATCAAGACAGCTTTTAAAGAAGATGCCCTGTCGGATCGGCAAGTGTTCCGGTGGCACAAGGTTTTTTTGGAAGGCCGGGAAGAGATCGACGACGAAGCCCGCGCCGGGCGGCCATCGACGAGCACCACGGACGACAATGTGACGCGAGTGAAAGAACTTTTGAACACAGACCGACGATTGAATGTCCGTTTACTGTCACAGTTATTAGATACAGTTATTAGGGTTCAACGCGTCTGGCCGGACAGGACTGGAGGTTGCATCGCGACAACGCATTACGAGACCATTGAGGGGATCCAAGCAGCTTGCACCGCGGCTTTAAAGGACATTCCGGAGGAGGCCTACCGTGGCGCATTCGATGCCTGGAAAACTCACTGGAGCCGATGTGTCAACGCAGGAGGAGCCTATTTTGAAGAATTTTGATGTGTTGTAACGAAAAGTTCAATAAATTTTTTTTAATCGACTCAATGACATTACTCTCCGGACAAACCATGTATATATTATTAAATAAAGGTGAATGGTTAAACCCTATGAGATAGACTGCATGTCTAATGACCCAGCGGCATATAAATAACGATTGTGTAAGATGATGACCCGGACGTAAAGTACAGGCATGTGAGAATCATATCGAAGTATATATAGTATCACTATTATTGTATCGAGCAATATTTGCTAATGTATCTCGCATGGGCCAGTAATTCGCGCATCTACCTACGCAGTCGCTATCTAATACAACATCGCTAAGTCGATTAGACATGTAGTCTGTCTCATGGAATTTAAAAAAAAACTGTTCCGACCGACTCACTCTATATTTATATTAATTATAAATATTTTCAAAATATTAAAAACAAAACAAAAAAATAAGTATATTAGATCGATATACCTGACATCGCTATAACAACGCTAATTAATATAAAGCGTATCAAGATGTTCATATTGAAAGAGTTTTCGATATTTCTGGCTAACGTTATCAGCTGCTGATGCCTTATAATTAATGGTCGCAGTGAGTTCTCCTGATGCACTTCGTTATTGGTTTCTTTTCTGATCTCAGCGAAGCGATTTCTAAGTAGCTCCAATTGACCACACAGGTGCATCGTAATGCAGAAGAAGAAACCATCGCTTGTACATTCCGCTAATGCTATTATGATATACTGTATCGCTTGGATGACAATGAGTGCTTTATAAGTGCGATAAGATACCCCGGCGAACAGACACGTCGTCGAAAGGGGGTAATTCCATGCGGTTATGGTGTAGTTGTCCATTATTATGACCTATAAACATATCTCGGGATGTAGCTGAAACAATACAACATCTAAGTGATGTCATAAACATTTTGCGAAAGAATGATGAAAATATAGACTAATTTTTACGAATAAGGTTTCAACCCGGGAAAAAAGCTTTTTTTTACGAAATTTTTTCATCATCCGAATAATCGCCTCCAAATGTGCGAGATTAATCTAAAGTGTAAAATAGATGAAGCTTCTTTCAGCATTTTTCAATCCAGCGATAAACTTAACATTTTCCTTTTTTATGAACAATTATCTTTGATGTTCTTGATATAACCTGTTGTTTCTCATCCATCATGAACGCCATAATGTATGAGACGCAGCTCATACTTGCAATCACGACGTGACCGATAACAATCACACGTCCCACGCGCGCGTAACTGGTCATTATTACATGCGCTTTTTTCTCCGTGGATGGAATGGACCAATCAACAATAGCCGAGTTAATGTTAGTGGCTATCTTTTTCATATTCAAGCGCGGAAAAATGGTGCTTATCCAGCCGTGTACGAAACCCTCCATTACGAGGACCATTTCGAGAACGTCCTTTGTAGCGCCGCAACGTCGAAAATATGCTACGAACAAGCTGACTAAAGCGAGACTCTGAAAAACGGCGACTCGCTCGTTAGTGTCAATCTGTTGTTAACGAGGCGTCGACTAATATAGCAATAAATAACAATTCACTTTCACGTTCAACGTACGTCTTACCTCCGTTAGGACTATCGCGAGCCATCGGATGGTACTGAACAGATCGTTCCGCTGGAAGGGCCATACGCCAATCACCGACATCATAGTCTTTATCATGAAGAAGCCGTAATTCATGCCGCTATTCCAGTTCGCCTTCAATTTTGGCTTCATCGACGAATGCTCTCGATTCGTAAGCAATTTCCCGGTCGGACGTGACCCACGCTTTATATATAATTTTTTTTATAACATCTAACGCTTATTTGCGGAAGCTTTCTATGCTGCTGTGCTGCTGTGCGTCGACCTGCGAACCCATCCCTCCTTTCTTCACTGTTTTCTTTAGGAAGGTGGTAAGATAAGTGGGAAGAACAAATTTGTCAAACCGCTCATCGCTGTATAATGTTGCATAACTACACGATTATGCATAATTCTCGATATTTGCCCTTCGTCGTTGCTGCACTATTACACGCACGCAACTTACGGGCCAGCTTAACGTAACTTCCGGTATTCGTTTGTAATAGCATTTCAGACACGAAGGTTGGAGAAAATAAAAAAAAACTTCATGGATACACGGTGTGTCGTATAGGAGAATATTTCTTCTTCCGTTGAAATTTCTTCTTTCTGTTCCGTGTTTTCTCCTCGATTAAATAAATCGTATTTGGGTGTTGTCAACGATTACAGTCGGCCTATTCTGTAACTTTTAACGACGATATCATCACAATTATTTTGTCGTTGCGCAGATATAATATACGGCAGAAAAGCTGCGAAATGACAGAGTCGTAAAAAGTTACAGAATAGGACCGCAAGAGACAAAACACGCGTGAGAAAGCATTTTAATCAATTGTAACGTAATATTTTTCATACCAATTTTTATCATTTTCCATTGATATTGTAAGTTTAATGAGTTCACTGCTAGAAAATTCATATTAAATGAAATAATCTGGTTATGAAGCTTTTTTCACATAACCAAGTTATGAAAATTAATAACTAAAATGATGTTAAATTTAATGAAATAATTATAAAAAGTCATATTTTCCTTTTTATAAATGTATTGTAATCATTTAGACACAATAAGAATTACTAATGATGTTATTGATGTTATTGAATTTTTCATAACTAATAATATAGATTACAAGTTATCATAACACCATTATGAAAAGTAAATTCAGAATATGACTTTTCATAAGTTATTAAATGTGATATACAATTTGATTATTAATTTTCATAAATTGATTAAAATTTCACAACCAGATTATTAAATTTAAACAGCACACCCGCTGAAGTTACACAAAAACAATTAGTAAGAATGTTTGAATTTCAAGATACTAAAATATTATTATATTCCATTTCACTCGTTTGCACATACACACACACACACACGCGTCGCATGAGTGACGACACAGTTGCACACGTCGGTCCGCTTACTCTTCCATCGCTTGTAAAAACGATATGTACGTCAAGGCTGTAGTCAATATATCCGTGATGGTGCTTCTCGTGATGTAAAAGAATTTTCCAGCGCTGAGCCGGAGAGGGATCTTCGTTCTCATCACAATGAGTATCAAGTCCTTCATCGTTGCGGACGGCAATTCGTGCCACGCTGTGCTGTATATCGCCGTAACGATCAATTCGCTTTGAGTCTGCAGGGTATCGCCGGCGTGTGTGAACAGAAATGATTGTACAATGAAGTATTGAATGAAGATCATGCTTTTGATCACGTCCGTGTAATCCTGTTGCTTGAGGGACACCATAATACGCATACCTGAGGAAAGACGGCTATTTGAATCCTGAGTGTGCCCCTTGTATTCCTTTTTTCTTCCGCGCGAATATATTTCAGCCGGGATATCGCGACGCATCGTACCTGAGACCGCAATGACTATAGTGGTTATCCCCAAGCGTAGCAAGAGATTGATATTGAAAGAATCCTCGATGTTCTTAGCCAGAGTTATCAATTGACAATGCCGCTTGATCCATGGTCCCAATAAATTCTCATAACGGTTCTTCTCGTCAATCTTCCCCGTAATCTCGACGAAGCGAATTCTTAGCAACTCCAGTTGACCGCAGAGGTGCATGGTGATGCTAAAGAAAAAGCTATCGCTCGCGCACTCCGCTATGAACAGTAGGAACGCCTGTAATATTTGCATGGCATAAAGCGCCTTGTACGTGGTATATGAGATCCCTTTGTACAAACACGTCGACGGAAAAACGAAAGTCCACAGGGTCACATTCTCATTATCGATAGTTACGACCTGTTGAAATGTGTCTCGGTATATATTACTTAATTTTATGATTATACGCGCGTAAGAAGGAAGTCAGATTACGAACGAACAAATTGAAATGTCGATTAGCTGCCATCGATTATTCGTTGAAAAAATGATTATTCGTTCAAAAAGCAGCGTTTGATTTTCTAATTATTTTACAGTGGATCGAACGCAAATAATATCATTTATAAGTATTGTACGCGGGAAAAAATCTGGTTAACATTAACCGGAAAGGGAAGATGCGATTGAAAGAATTTCTTATGCCCCACACGTGGTTCTTATAAATTCTGTTTCCTTCAACCAAAATATATGTATGCTGATTGTTCTTTCCGATTAATACAACCAAACTTTTTTCCGTGTGTACAAATTATCATTTGTATGAATTCTCATTGTTATGTGTTTGTCACATATATTCTAATGAGAGAAATTGACTTCGGCGTTTGGTTCGATTTCTCACTAGGATATTATGAAATTTGTTTTTATTTAACGACCACTTGTAAATCCACAATAACAGAAGTTTTGACACAACCTGTTGGTTATTTCCGATGATAATGACGATAAAGTATAAGGAAGCGGCTACGAATCCGATCATCACTTGAGACATAGTGATTATTCGGCCTACTCGTGCGTAACCTGTCATTATTAAATAAGATTCTTCCTTCGTAGATGACGAAGACCAATCGTCGATCGCGGAGATTACATTGCTGGCGATCTTTTTCATATACATACGCCCGAAAATCACGTTCGTCCACGCATGTAAGCCGGTCTCTATTATAAGACAGACCTCCAAAGCATCTTTGGTATCACCGCAACTCTTGAGAGGTTCTATCAGCAGGTTGAGCATTGTGAGAGTCTATACGATGGTAAAGATTCAACTGTTTTATAGGTGAATACGTTAAGATAGAATTTTTGATAACGCAAATGAAATCTCGCGTTATAATGTGAAGCTCGCGCAAGTCTTATTAAAAATACAAGACAGTTTCCTGAGAAATTCAAAATTAAGAATTTCTCAAAAATCTCGAAACAAATGGACAAAAATTTAGCCAAGCCACTTAAACAATTATTATGTCGACTCGCGATAAAAAAAATGGTACAAATATTATCAGTGTGCCTTTGTCTTGTCTCACCTCTGCGACGAGTATCGCGAACCAGCGGACTGTGCAAACGAATTCGTTTTGTTGCAACGGCCACACACCAAGCATCGACATCATTGTTCTTATCACAGAAAAGCCGTAGTCCATACCGCTGTTCCATGTTGTCTTCATGTTTGATCAGGTCGGGTCTTCAAAAATTCAGGCGCGGTCATTCGTGACTGAACGCCGCATGGTTCACTTGCGATCCTGCGTCTCGTTTCTATTTCGATAAATTACTATGATCAACAAGCAGGCTTCTTGCGCTCTTAAGGGTGGTAAGATAAGTGGCAAGACAAATTTGCCGAACCACTCGTCGCTATAATATTACATAACTGCGCAGGATCATGCACAATTTTCGATATTTGTCCTTGCATCGTCGATGCACTGTTACTCGCACGAACCAGCGTAACGTAACTTCCTATACCTACTTGTAATAGCGTCTCGGACGCAAAAGAAAAAGTTCTAAACTTTATTGATGTGCTACGGTGTATCTATTTCGTGTATAGGGGAACGCTTCTTCCTCCTTTGAAAATTCTTTCTATTCCGTATTTTCTCCGACTAAATAAATCGTACTGCTTTCGGAGGTGTTGATGATTTACGGTAGGCCTATTCTGTAACTTCTTACGACGATATCGTCATAGTTATTATGTTGTTAAGTAGATAACACGGTATTAGATGTAATATGCAGTAGGAAAGCTGCACCATGACAACGACAATGTTAAAAATTACAGAAAGCAAAATACGCGTGTCAAAATACTGTAACCAATTATATATCTAATAATATTTCTCATACAGAATGCCAACAATTTTTATTACGTCCACAGATATTGTAAATTGAATTAATTTGTTCGGTAACACGAATAACAAAACATCTGATAATAAAATAAAATAATCAGAAACATTTTTATATCAAACATGAATATGATTGTAAAAAAAAAATGTATGAATATATATCATAGTTATGCTTTTTCTTTGCAAACAAGTTTAATAATAAATGTTATTATAAAAGAGCCAATAGTGTGAAAGTGAATAATATAATCGAAATATTTGGATTGCAATTTACCGAAACACAAATATATATTACATTATTTATCCGTACATATCCGTACATTTAAGACTAGGCTAATATTCGCAAAATCGGAACGTTCTTATTTTTTCATAATTATCTGTAGAAACGATATGTACGTCATGGTATTTTTTAGGATATCCGTCATAGTGGATCGTGTTAAAAAGAAAAATTTTCCAGCACTAAGTTGAACTGGAGTCTTCAATCTGATCATAACGAACATCAGATCCTTCGCAGTGGTGGGTGACAATTCGTACCACGTCGTATTGTATAACGACGCGGTGATCGACATGCTTTGACTGTATACTGTATCGCCGGCGTGTGCAAACATGAAGCACTGCAGAATATAATATTGGATAAAGAATACCATTTTCAAGAATTCGTTGTACTCGTGTTGCCTGAGTAAGGTAATAGCGCGCAATCCTATAAAAAATGCAGTTTTTCAGTTTTACGGATTATATCGTATTACACAGATAATAGCACCCTTGGTGGGAAATTTAATTTCTATTCGACATTTTTTTTTATTTATTAAATATTTTTATATCTTTAACATATATTATTGTATATTATATATAAATAAAGGTTCTGAAAATATTTATAATCAATATGAATACAAGGCGAATCAAAATTTAAACAGCTTTTTACCCTGTGGGACAGATTACACCGACTTTGCACGTCTAATCTACCTAGCGGCGTCGGTAGATGGGTGATTGTGTAAAATATGTCGTGTGAACTTCGGCCTGCGAACACGAAGTATAGGCATGCGAGAAACTAGAATCAAGTAAAATTATGTAATTAAAGCAATATTTGTTAATATATCGAATAGTTCGTATATATATCTACGCCACCTATATGCCGCTAAATTGATTAGATAATCCGTTTCCTAGGGTAAGAAGCTGTTTCAATTCACTTCTATATTTGTCTTGCATTTATTCTGATTTACCTGTATTTATATTAATTATAAATCTTTTTTCATCATATTACAGAGACAGTAAAAAAAAATAATTAGATCTGTATACCTGACATCGCTATAACTACGCTAATTGATATAAAGCGTATCAAGATGTTAATGTTGAAAGAATCTTCGATATTTCTGGCTAATGTAATCAAGTGCTGATGCCTTATAATTAATGGTCGCAATAAGTTCTCGTGATGCGCTTTGTCATTGGTTTCTCTTCTGACCTCACCGAAGCGATTTTTAAGCAGCTCCAATTGACCACACAGGTGCATTGTGATGCAGAAGAAGAAACCGTCGTTTACACTTTCTGCTAGTGATATTATGATTATCTGTATTATTTGGATGATACTGAGTGCGTTGTAAGTGCGATAAGATACCCCGCCAAACAGACATGTCGCCGAAACGGGGTAATTCCATGCGATCATGGTGTAGTTGTCGATTGTTATGACCTATAAACATATCTCGAGATGTAGCTGAAACAACACAACATCTAAATGACGTCATAGACATATTGCGAAAGAGATGATGAAGACTGAATTTTGCAAATAAAGCATCAATCTGCAAAAAAAAAAATTTTACATGATATTTTTGCATTCTCTAAATAATCGCCCCCCCCCCCCAAGTGAGAGAGAGAGAGAGAGATTAATCTAAAACAAATTTGTGTGAAACTTTCTTCTCCCACATCAGTTTTCAGCTGGATATATTTTAAATGCAGCAATGAGCTCTCAAACTTTCATATTTATGAACGATTATGATGTTCCTTGATGTTCTTGATACAACCTGCTGTTTCTCGTCTATCATCATTCCCATGATGAATTGGGCGCAAGTCGTAAGTACAAGTACGATGTGGCCGATAATGATCATACGTCCCATGCGCGCGTAACCGGTCATTATTACACGCGCTTTTTTCTCCGTAGACGGAATGATAGACCAATCGTCAATAGCCGAGCTGATATTAGTGGCCATCCTTTTCATATTCAGGCGTGGAAAAATGGTGCTTACCCAGCCATGTAAACAGCCCTCCATAAGAAGGACCATCTCAAAAATGTCTTTCGTATCGTCGCAACGTTGGGAATATTCTACAATTAAGCTGACTAAAGCGAGACTCTGCAAAAAGGCGACTCGCTCATTAGTATCAATCAATTGTTGTTAGCGAGACATCGATTAATAAAGCGATCGCGTGCCGTCTTACCTCTGTTATGACTATCGCGAACCACCGGACAGTACTGATCAGATCGTTCCGCTGGAAAGGCCATACGCCGACCACCGACATCATCGCTTTTATCATGGAGAAACCGTAATTCATGCCGCTATTCCAGTTCGCCTTCATTTTTGATTTCGTCGACGAATGCTCTCGATTCGAAAACAATTTCTCTCGGTCGAATATGACCTACGTTGCTCGCTTTGCATGTAATTTTCTTATGAGATCTACCGCCTACTTGCTATTAAGTAGCATGCTGCTACGCTGCAGTGCGTGTTGATCTGTGAATCCACCCCTCTCCTTCCTTTACTATTCTTTTCACGAAGGTGGTAAGATAAGTGACAGGTTTGTCTAACCGTGCATCTTATTGTAATATTGTACAACGCGCGCGATTTTCAGTTATTTTGTCAATTTGTGTCAGTCGCGCCGCTGTCCGCCGATGGTTGGAACGGTAATGACAATGTGTGTCATGCATTCCCCTAAGTTTCCATTTACGTGCAAAACGCCTGTTTCCATCAAGCTGAATGTAATATTTGATCCGCGTTAGTGCCGCCTGTCATCACTCTTCAACATCTTGATACTCCTTGATATTCGTCAGCACAAGTATATTTATTTCACCATAAAAACGATAAATAAAAAACACTGATAATGATAATTTGTCAGTTAATTGCATCAAGAGATTATATTGTTTTATGTATTTTTAGTATTACGCACGCGTATATTTTCTCTCTTTCTCTCTTCGAAAAAAAAAAATACTGTTCACGACTCTAACATTACCCTCAGTACGGACAAGTACGAGGCGGAAGCCTTCAGAATCTCCTTAAAACTCACAAAATTTATTGCTAAAAATTTTCCCGCGGTCAACTGATGAGGGGTAGCCGCTCGAAGAATCATTATTGGTAGATTTTTCATCACGCTTACGTCGAAGCAATACCATGGTGACTCGTAGATCGCATAAGCAAGTCCCTCCGATTGCAACTCCAATGTCTGTCCGGCGAAGCAGTAAATGAACAGTTGCACCAATAGCACGATGATGAAAAGTGCGTGTTTCATCGCAGCGAATGTCTCGTTTATTGCGAGCGTGAGAAGCAATTGAAATCCTAGAAAACGAAACGACAGTAAACATAATCAACGATAAGTTAAAGTTAAAAGAAAAAGAATTTACCTTTTTTTGATATAGTTTTGTTCGATCTTCGGAATATGTTCGCGTAAAGTAAACTACATCATCCAAATGTGTAATTTTTACATGTATGAGATTGTGTAGTCACTTTCTCACACATTTTCATTTCTATTATTTTACGTGATGCATATATTTTACATGCTTACATATTAAATTACGCATTAAAAACTCAAATATATTTAAACGATATTAAAAGAAAAATATATTTTCTTTGGAAACTTTCCTTTGACTTGAATGTAAATAAATATATTATAAGCATCCATCGAGTACTTCATCTTTTTCCGTCAAAATTTTTTATTTCTAAGAAATTGTTTTCTCTCGGGATACGAAAAATTGCCAGAAGAAAAAATGGTTACATCTCTATCATTTCGATATTTCTCGTATGATGCACCCGATCCGTGCGAGCAATATTAATTAAAACTCACCTTCGACGCACAAGAGCATAACGCTCATGAAAAGCTGCGCCAAGATGACCATATCGAATGCCCTTTTCAGATGATACGCCATGCATATGAGGCGATGATGCCTCTTCAATAATCTGATGAGTTGGGGACGGCAAAGCAACTCCTCGCAGCTCATCGCAGCGAAGTCCGTCCTGAGGACCTCGAATTGTCCGCACACGTGCATTGTGAGACCGAAGAAGAACCCGTCGTTGCCGCACTGCGAGATGCAATTGACGAGGATCTGCAGCGACTGCAGAATCTCGATTAAGCCGTAAGTGAAGGAAGTGTACGTGTCGAAGACACAATATGCGGCCAAGAGCAACCTCCTCTCGACGTGCGTGTTGTTGAAAATCTGCTCCCACGGCATCTTCATATCGCCCAGCACAAACTGCGTAAAGAGGAACACGCAGGAGGCGCAACCGAGAGCGAAAATCGCCGTGGCGCCCAGCCGACCTCTGCGCGCGTATTTCAGCATGATATCGCGTGATGAAGGGTTTTTCACAAAAGTCCAGTCATGAATCACAGACTCCACCAATATCAGCTTGTGCCTCCAATTCAGACGGTGCAAGAGCAGCTTCGACATGCTGATTACTGACGAAGACGCTGATAGGAAGGCATTCAGGGTATCCTCGTGGTTCTTGCAATGTCGAATAACTTCTAGCGACAAGCTAACCGTCGCGCTTATCTGGTCGACAAAAATAAAATTAGAACATTAGAAAGATATGTAAGAAATTTGTATGCAAAATATAACTTCTAAACGAAGGCAAGTATTATATATTTGGATAATACACTCGAAAGTGTAACTTACCTCCACCATCGTCGACAGAGACCATCGAATCCTAGAAAATAAGTCTTTCTCGTCCAACACCCAAAGTCCAACTATACCAAGCACATTTCTGTAGAACGTTAAAACCTGTGCGGTATCGGCGTTCCACTTTATAGAAGACTTCATTTGAGACGGGCACTTGAGAACCTTCCGTACGTTTGTTACGTATTATTTTATTCTCTCTTTGAAATGTAAGAATAAATTCCTCCCTTCTCTTCGATTCACTCTTTCTCTAAAATAGTCCTTTGTTTCTGAGCGCATCGCTCGATATCAGATTTCCCGCAGACACAGATATCTCTGAGAAGCTCTCTCTGCGCGACAGTTAACTTGCGGCAGCTAAACGGCTGGATTTCTCCCCTTTTATTATTCATATCCTCGTAATTATCTTTAAGAACTTGAATATAGTTTGTACAAATAATAGAGTTACGCAACTCAACATCGTTCGACGCGATATTAATTCTCGGAAAAATGGATCCGCAGAATTTAACTATTCCCTCTCTCGATAAATAAAAAATCCGTGACAAAGCCGAGCTATGTCCCGAAATTGTCATCCTGCTTTTTCCCTGAAGAAACGATTCATACATATATTGTTTTCAGATAAGTAAGTATACACGTAAGAAGACACGTGAAATGGGAAAATCCTGTACACGGAGGAAGAATGTGGTGATTATGGAGAAAATGCGACGTTGGTCAAGAAACTCTTTCCACGGTATGTATTTTCTATTGACTTATTAAAGTGTTCTTCAGCCGTGCCGCCAAGACAAACTCTGTTGAGTAAGAAACCGTACGACAATTCCTCTTTGCAAATAAAATACACCAATCGTCAACAGTGGAACTGACTGTTAACGAGCATTTTTCACATATACGTACGCAGAAATACGACGGTGTTCTTTCACAACGGCGTAAGTAACAGCACAACGTAAGAAAAAATATCTTTAAGATACTTTCGAATCCTGAAATATTTTATCACATTGTAGATGTAAGATGGCAACTTCAAACATCAATAATGTCACTGTTGGTGGACATTTTTTAAGAGCGATAAGAATTATCTTTTTATCTAATGCCAGTTTGTAATATGAAATCTGCTATTCGGAAATTACAAGATGTATGTTTGAAAATATTTTAATTGAACACCGTCCGCTCCACATAATATGTACATATCTCTCGATTCCTCGCATATTTTCAGTCTTACATACATACACAGTTGATTCGAACGTTAATCCCTCAAAGCTACTCGTAAAACTGAAATGTACGAAGCCGCTGTCTTGAGGATGTACATCATCGTCTCGCGATTAACGTAGAAGAACTTTCCGCCGGTAAGACGGAACGGGATGCTCGACCTCATCATCGCGAAATGCATGTCCTTCATCAATGCTAAAGGAAGCGTGAACCAGGAAGACGCGTATAACGCGTAAAATATATTCTCGCTTTCCCGCTGCAAGAAATCACCGGCGTAGGTGTACACAAGCGACTCTATTAAAAGGTAGTTTATGACCAGGGCGCTTTTCATGAATTCCACTTGGTCGTTCTCTTTCAGGCACAAATTCAAACGTAATCCTGAAATTGTAGAGCTCATTTTAACAATATTGCACGAAAATATCGAACGTAAATAACGTAGTATAAACGTAATTAAATACAAATAACGAAATGCTTATTTATAAAATATAATTAAATTACAATTGTTGTATAAAATATAATTATTATTAAATACATCGAATTAACGCGAGTAATCGCAATTATTAGATGTATTTGTTCGTGCGCTAAATGCCAAGCGAAATTTTCGCCTTAGACTACCTAGTAGTGCAAGCATGACCGTTACTATCGTAAGTTGGGATAATAAGAGAAAGTGGTAGATATCCTCCAAGCTTTGATAGTATTCTATTAGCTCGCTGTGTCTGTTAACAAAGTCGGCGAATCTCTTTCGACAACTCGGCACGGTGTACGGCACGTTCGCGAAATTTTTCAATTTCTCTTTAAGCACTTCGAGTTGACCGGAGAGATGCACCGTGAGGTTGAAGAAGAAACTGTCCAAGACACACTGCATACTACATAATATAGACGTTTGTAATATCTGAAGAGTGAGGATAATTACGTATTGCCAGCCGGTGACTGAATTACCCAACGAACCAGATGGGATCAGAAATATCCAATCCGTTACATTAGCTGCACATAACGAGAACGGAAAGGTAATAATATATTAATGTTTTCTGCTGAATGTGCTATTAGGTCAAATTTAACTAAAAATCGTACAAATTACTTTCAAAATCATCCTTCAAAATGGTCATTCCCCCTGCGCTTATCGGGCACAATCAGTCGAGACCAATTGTGAAAGCTTTTCAAACGCTGAAGAAGAATATGTCGGTCTTTCAAATCTATCTTGTTCCAGAAAATGATATTGGTAATAAATACCTAAACCTTGTCAAAAGAAGGCATTCTACAAGCAAAGGTGAACGTTTACAAGCACAAAGCAATCCTAAGGCTCACTCTTTTATTCTTTCGAAAATAAAAGAAATGTGACAATGTACCTATGGCAAGCATTAATGAGAGTTAGTTCAGTGTAAAAAATAAAAATTTTCTGGAACAAGACAGATGCTGACAGATTTGAAATAGGCATATTTTTTTCAGCGCTTCAGAAGCTTCCCATTGGTCTCGACTGTGCACCAAAAGAGTAGTAGGCAGAAAATCATTCTTTGGACTGAATCGATAATAAACGTTGTAATATCTTATCAATAAATCTTGATAAAGAATACAGAAAAAAGCAAAGAAATATTTTACCATCCACTGAATTCGGATTCGTGAAAAATATCTGTTTCAGATTTATCATCACGATGGCCGATATATAAATGGTGAAACATCCCATGGCTGAATACAACAACACAAGAGTGAGTATTTTCGCTCGAACCGCGCATTTTTTCATGATCTTCCAAGTTTCCTCGTCGTTTTTAGCGGTCAACCAATCGTCGAAAGCGGCGTTGACGATCGTGTCTATTTTCTTCTGGTTTAAAACGACGGACCCCATTTTTATGAGTCCAAGTATCGCTGACACGGAATATAATATACTCTCTATGCTCGCGCCAGCGTCGTGATTATCCCCAATGAAATCCATAGCGATATAGGACAGTATCATGACCTAACGATGATAGAAAATGAAAGATAGCGCATCGTTTCTTCACGTTTTACAATAAAGTCTACATTTACCAGATAGAGAAAATTTACAGAAAAAGTCAGAATTCTTTAAATCGCCATTGTACACGTCAAACGTGCGGGATAGAATCACTTTTTCACTTCAGAAACTCTTCGTCCAGCCTTTTTGCTGTACATTGCGCTACCATCACTTCGTATTAACGTACCTGTGAAATGAAAGATATGCCGCATCGTATCTTCGTAAATATCGTCTTCTTCTGCAACGGCCACACACCGAATATTCTCAGGGTTATTCTATGAATAGAAAAGGCATAAGCGATGTCATTGTTCCAACGTTCGTCCGGCATTCCGGCGCGCGGAAAAACTCAGACGACTACGCGCTCGAAACTACTTCGTTCAATAGTTACGGGAGAAATTTCCACTTTTGCACAATTTAATGTCGATTTCATCGGACGCTTTCATCGAACGTTATTACCATGAAACAAAAGTGGTTCTCAAACATGCGCCGCATTAACTCATTACAAACTCATGTTTTATTAGCTTGCGCGCAACTTCTCTCGCGCCCGTAAACTCGAGAAGAGATGGCGTGCGTGTCTTTACATTCTTTCGATCATAACGCGGACGGCCACGCTCGTCGCAGACAAGAACAGCGTCGAATTTGGTGAGTTTGTCACACTATAAAATATTAGTTAGTCATTGTGGACATATTTATCTCACAGCAACCGATTAATGCGCAGTGTGAAAGATTAGCATAACTTGATATTATACTTGCAATTGTCATTATTCTACTCCGGCTGAAGTTATATTTCAATATAGCCTTGTATAATTAATCGAAGTAATGTTATCTACCACATTACACGCTTTTATTTCTAATAATTTACAGAATCACTTACAAGTATCCATGTTCCGAGAGAAATTAACTAAATATTTCAAGTAAGAGATCGTTTTCTTCTGTTCTAAAAACAAGTTATATCCCCTCACGTTTCTAACATCACTCTTAATACTGACAAGTACGAAGCCTTCAGGATTTCCTTAAAACTGGCAAAAGTTGAAATTTTCCCGCGGTCAACTGATGATGTCTACCCGCCCGGAGAATCACGAGTGATCCTTTATCACGCTCACGTCAAAACTGTGTCTCGTATAATAGCGTAAGCGAGTGCCTTGGGTTGTAGCTCCAACGTTTATCCCACGAAGCAATAGAGGAAACCGACAGCACGCGTCATACGAAAAGTATGTGTTTGGTAGCGCTGAATATGTCGTTCATTGTGAGGATCAATTGAAAACCTGAAGAAAAACGCAAACATATCGATATCATCAATTACGACGAACTTGAAAGATTCATTCAATATTATAACTACGAGGAATTATTATATTTCCTTTATATATCGATTTATTTCACACAATATAAAATTTGTTACTATTAGAGGGGTCATTATTGCGGAACTCTTGCGGAAGTCAAACCCTATTGGGATTTATTAGTAAAGTCTACCTTCGACGCACAAGAGAACGACGCTCATGAAAAGCTGCGCCAAGATGATCATACTGAATGCCTCCTCCAGATAATGCGCCAGGCACATAAGTTGACGGTGCCTCCTCAGCATGTGTCGAGTTTACCGCAAAAAAGGATCTTCTTATCGCCGTTCATCTCCGTTCTGAGAATCTCGAACTGGCCACACACGTGCATCGTTAGATTGAAGAAGAACCCGTTGTTGCCGCACTGCGAGATGCTGTTGACGAGCAGCAACTGCAGCGCTTCGATGAGAACGTAAGCGGAAGATATGTATTCGCCGTACACGCAGTAGGTCGCCAGGACTAGTTTCCGCTCGTCGGTGCGGCAACTCGACGTGTTGGAGAACACGAGAACAGAGGCGAATCTACCTATGCGCGCGTACTTCAACATGATGGCACGCGAAGACGGGTCCTTCACGAAGGTCCAATCCTGAATGACAGCCTCCACCAGAATTAATTTGTATTTCCAATAC